GGGGCGAAGTTTAATAAATAAAACCCTGCCCCACGAAAACCCGTTAATTAGCTTAGGCGCGGGGCGTTTAATATCTTAAATGTCGCCCCGCGCCACCGGTAATAAGCGTGTTTTTGCTCCGCGCCCCGCCATTTTAATTTCTTAATTCTCCACCTTTTGCTTGGGGTCGCGGGGCGAAAACACGAATTGCATACATCAGACATTATCATTTTTTGCAGTTATACACACATTCAAAACAAATGGATAAAAACGCACACAACTTTATAAATGTGTTCACTAAAGATTGAGTTAAATATCCATTAATAGACTTTAACGCAAACAAGTCAGGCGATATATATACAGACCGAAGCAATATTAATGCATATTAACATAAAAACGATTTCTTTTTAGAATATCTCACGCAATCTTCAGATTTTTTCTTTAAAATAACACATTTACATAAACGACAGTATAATATATCACCATAATAAAATTATTACGACGCAGAAATGGGAGATCAGAACAAGAGTGTTTTTGCTTGTTGGGGCCACTCAGGCGATAGTTTATTTTCAAGTTACAGTCATTTAAAATGTCATAAGCTAAATAAAAGACGCGAACACTTTGTTGTTGTTGAAACTTCAAAAAATTGACAGTAAATCTTAACACATACAGTCATTATATTTACACCTTTGAAAAAAAAAAACAGTCTACAGACTTGATGTTAATTTTGAACATTATATAACAATAAAACGCACGTTTATAATTTACGTTGAATAAACATAAAAAAGGCCTGTCGAAACCCTGACGACGTGATCCACAACAGTTAATGAATGGTAGTTATAAAATGGCTGTGGCCGTTACATTATCGTCGTGATCATCAACACCTAATCAATAATAGTTTATAACTGGCGATAGCCGATATAAGTATCGTTGTGATCATCAACACCTTAGCAATGGTAGTTGTCTGCCGCAGATATTATTTATCTTCGTAATTATCAACATCTAATCAATGGTAGTTGTCTGTCGCCGATATCATTATGTTCGTAATGATCAATACCTGATCAAAGGTAGTTGTCTGTCGCCGATATCATTATGTTCGTAATGATCAATACCTGATCAAAGGTAGTTGTCTGTCGCCGATATCATTATATTCGTAATGATCATTACCTTATCAATGGTAGTTGTCTGCCGCCGATATCATTATCTACATAATGATCAACATCTATTTCTATTCAATGATGGTTGTCTGCCACCGATATCATTATCCTCATAATGATCAACGTCTATTCAATGATGGTTATCTGCCGCCGATATCATTATCGTCATAATGATCAACATCTATTCAATGATGGTTGATAGTTAAATATGCCAACATTGCATAAATGCAAGAGCAAATTGCGATTTTGTTTGTTTGGATTCTTGTTGCGCACGTATTTGCGTGTGAATAAAAAATCAGTCAAAAGATATGTCAATACATTTTAAATCTTATATTGTTGTAACTATGATTTTTATTTCAATTGCCTCGATGAATTTGGCTAAACGTTGGCAGTTCGAAATTGACATACATACTTTAAACATATGTTTATATTTAATTGAGTGGTATTTAAAACAGTCACTTTTTTTCTCGAAATAAATCATTTACAATAGATCAGGGACGTATTCATGCAGAAAATACAGGCCTTTTATATTAGTCGGAGGTCGTGTTTGTCAATGTATCTTATATCTCTATAATACTTTGGTGTGATAGAACGGCCTTTAGAAAAAAAATGAACAACAGCTTCGTGGTGTTCTAGGAAATAAAGCACATTTCTTTCTTGACACTTGTCAATGGCTTGTTTATGCATTGTGCTCAAACATTTTTGGTGCTTCAAATCTGATTATTTTGTATAATGAAAAATGCTTTCATCTCATGTTAGAAAAACGACGAATGTCATATAAGGATATCATTTAAAGTATTTCTAGAACGTTAAACTTGCTCCCTCTGCTGGTCTGATAATTGCAAATTGGGTATACATTTAGAAGACACTCGCTTAAATTTCAAGCGACTTTCTAGAAGCATTTGAATTGACCCTTTGTATGTCCCTGTAAGATTGGTTAACTAGGTAAGTAATTTCAAGTCTTACAGCTTTATCAATGGGCTTTCTTAAAGGTTTCTGCTTTTTCTCTGTTTATGAATATTTCTGTCGGTATAAATAGATGATACTTACAGGCATCTTTATTGACTACAGACCATATTTCAAATTTAAGCATACAAAATGTATTTCATAGTATCTATTCAGTTATCTAGGGGCAATTAAATATATTGCATTTAAAGATTATCCACTGTATCCAATTCATTTTTGGAGATGTATTTCGCCTTGGCCAAGACGAATAATAAAATGTTGATTCACCCACAACTAGGTATAGAAATCAGAATGTAATAAACAGTAGGCTCCTACATGATATGGATGATTCAGCTATTCTGTCATTTGTTAAAACTTACAAATGACATTCTACCAGTCAATGATTCATTGACATTTACATATCTCTAAAATATATGTAAGTTGCAGCTGGAATTGAACTGACATTCAACTATCTTTGGACGTGAAATATACAGGTGCTACACTTCATTTGTCTTTGTTTGGTTATTCCATGGCAATATATTCCGTTTAAAATGTTATATATTCTGTACAGGAAACTTGATCATTTGATTATCTATCCACATTGAGATTTCGAACATCAACATCATTTAGATTGTTTTTGGTTTAAATGCATGTTCGCTTTTCTTTAAAATTTAGGAATTGTTCGCACGAAGCAGCACTGTCTTGAACAAACAGTTATGTCAGCATTTGTCGATTTATGTTCCAAATTAAACATTGTACAAGCTTAAGCGTTCCTTTTATTGCAATGCATTACCTACAGCCCCAACTAAATACATTTCTTTGCGCTTTATAATTGATTATTTGTTTCTCCTTTATATTAAGACAGATAATTGTTTTAAAAGCACCGTTTTCCGGAAACAATCTTTATGACTACATTTGGCTCATTCCGTTAAGGATAAGTCATTACGTTTGTTTCGAAGTTTTTTCGTTTTAACAACTATCAAAGGCAAAAACCCTAAATGCATAAGAGTGGCTCCGGAGGCTTGTGTATCATGGTCGCTCGCTTTTAAGATCAGCGAATTGTTCTTTCTGTGTATATAGTCTACGAATTGTAGGTAAATACCCATTTTGTCGAGGAAAGACAACTTGGTCTGATTGCGTTGCAGACTAGTTTTTGCTTCGTTTGGTGAAGCTGTACATATCCGAATAAAACTTCAACCCGATGTGTTCATTGCATTTATTAAGTCTACACATTTGAAATAAAGTCTATAATTTTTTGCTACAAAGCTCTTTAATCAGGTAGACACAAAATGGCATCACTTGCATTTTTCCATTGCAGAAAACGTCTGTTTTTATAAAAAAGGGAAGAAATGAAAATAGCATACACATTTACTTTTCTTGATAGTTGTTTCCCTTTCACCTTTGAAAATGTATATGTCCATTTCTTAATGCGCGTTTCATTAATCATTTTCGAAGTTATGAGACGTTTTAATGAATTGGGTCCAGGAAACATTTGTTTAACTTGATAAATATATGATCGATAGGTTTCGTAAACGTTAAGTTTTGTACACTCAGGTACCCCCTCAAACCAAAATGCTACTGGCAAGGTACTGAGAATAGCACCAACTTAAACATAACATTTGAAGGGGTGTCAAGAGTGGAGACTGAGAAAAGAAGGAAAGAACATGTCAACTATTTATCATAAACCATTTAAAATGTAACGAAACAACATGAAAATACGCCACGTGAGCCTCATAGTGCCAGTGTGGTTACAAACAAAGCTGTAAGTAAATCTAGACAGTTTGAAATAAAGTTTACAACAATAAATTTACAAAAACGCTTTTGTACCATACGGCAATGTTGTAAAGATGTTACACTTTCATTATTCTTAAATAATGCCTATATGAAATGACCATCATGTTAACAATTAGATATTGGTGATGCAGCTTTAAATGACATAGATCATCCTAAAAGTGTAATGTAATTGTATCTACAAAAAGTAATTTATATTAATAGAACAAAATAGGCGACCAAATTGAATTGTAGTGTATATCTATGGCTGTGGTTTTGTGCAGGTTAGTCAATAAAAAAGCCTTTATACTTATTTGGTCATCATTTTAATGAAAGAATGATTGATTATAAATAATTTTTATGAAATTGGATGATCACCTAGAGTAGATCTTTTGTTGTAAACTGATTTGTCAAATTATTATTTATGTATATGCATATATGTTTATCGTAACAAATAGAATTGTCCACAATTTTGCATTTACTAGTTTTTTTACCATATTCATACATTTTGTGCAATCCAGTCTATAATAACACATATCCTGTTTAAAAAAATTGTTTCGTTTTTAGGATTATTTTTTTGCAATCCTTAAAGTGGTCAATTTTAGCAATACTCGGTCAAATATTTGTATTTCTGCTGCTTCTTCGAAGCGTTCGTATGATATGTTCACTTTTAAATTCTGAAAGGCATAAATCATTTACATTATTTGTCTAACGTTTAACTCGGTATATTTACTATCTTGGCCTAGTTTCATAGGTATTCTATGAGATCTTAGATCATGTCAAAGGGAATGGCTTTGAGAATTTTAAATCCCTGTAAACGCCTTTATTTATGTTTCTTCATCCTCTTAATGATCTTGTCCATATGATGCATTTCTTTATTTTAAAGCAATAACCTCAAAGTCAGTAATCTATTTTACAATTAGATACTGATAAATTAGACCGATTTGTTTTTCAGATCTCAATGAAGATTATTTGTTGGTTTCTTTAATATTTTCTGGATGCAGTTGAAATTGTTACAGGTTGTCAGTTCAGCAAATGAATTTGTCCGTTGTGTCTGCGTTCATGTGAAGTCGTCTGATAATCTATTTTATACAATATTCAAATATCAATACACAAAAAATGAATAACATTTCAGCATCTCAGCTTATACTTTTATTTACAATTTGACATTATTCTGCAAATTAACACAACTTGCACACAGTCAATAAAAATACATGATCTCAGCTTTCACTGGGTGAAATGTATTTCTATTGCTCGTTGAATGGAAGGATAATCTGTTTGCGTATATTATGTACATATTGAAAGAGTTGTTAGAAAACAAGAGTGAAACTTTTCAACTATCAAGTGTATCTAAAATATCCTGATGAAAAACAAGTCAAACAAACGAACAAAACTGAATACCTCTTTTGTCCACTGAACTGAAAAAATATGTACAGCACACACCTTTCGTTATTTTAAGACTGCATATTTCATAATCACTAATCAATAAGGGAATGCTTGTGAAAAGTTAACGGAATCCGTACGAAAATGCGTTGCCATTTCCTCGAAGTGAACCTAACATTTAATATTGTCGCATAGAGGTGAAAAGATATTAAGATTTTCAAATTAGAAAATGTTCACATAAGTCCGTGAAATAAACACAAAAGACCAAGGTTTATTGTCAGTTCACATTCTTTGATACTATACTGGTGATTGAGCATTTAGATTGACTTTGACTACTTGGCCGTTGGTGTCAATTGCAATAGCTGGGTAAAGGTCTTGCGTTGTTAGTAATTTTGTTTCTCCGATCTGGAATATGATTAAAGATAGTAGATAAAAAAGACAATGGCTCAAAAGCTTAAGCGTTTCCATTAACAATCTAACACAGAAAAAACAACTAAAGAAAACATGAAAGAAATAATATATTGCTTGGAAATGAGACGATAATTAAGTAACAAGTTTGAATCAGTTATTTACAAAACTTAAGCTTACAGTTTTAGTTATTTAATCTTTATTTAACTGTAGAAGTGGTACAAAGAAGTGATAGATTTGAAAAATGGTAAACGAATTCAACGAAAAGCATAGCGGTTAACTTTTTCAGGTATTTGTTATTTCTAAAGGATCTGATAGAAGGCTAGTTCAGCAAACTCATAAAATTTATGACCTCTTTCACTTTAGTCATGAAGCACCCCGATTCAAACTAAAAGGAATATACATAAAATTGCAAACGTTTCTTAATTAAAGATTTTCCAAAAAAAAAAATCTTCTTCCCTCAAATAATAATAATACCAATAATAAAAACGAATACAAACAATCAAATAACCAAACAAACAAATATATGATTATACACATTGAACACAGATTGTCAGTAAGTTATCACGTTTTGACTTACAATTTACACGTGGTCATTAATACAAATTGAAAACAGATTGTCATAAATATTGATAAATTGAATTTTCCTAAAGACTTTAACATCTAAAAATTATACTATTATTAGACTTTTATGACGCCGAAAATAAGATGCTAAAAAAGATTATATAATATGCTGTATTCGTTTTACTGGACCTTTGTTATCTTCTGTCCAATATCACCGAGTAAAAAATGTAAATTGATACATGTATAAAACACAGATTCAAACATGTTACCTTTTGTCCATTCTTTGTGAAGAAGACATTAACACAAAACATTTCCTTGCTTAATATTCCACAACCCATCTTATCAGATTCACTACAAGGGGCAATAGCCGCTCCGTATTTATTTTCGTTGAAAATTCTAGAGTTGGATTAAATTCATAGCAATTCAGACAATTACAGACAATTAAAAAAATATATTAATAAAAATAAATACAGTCGACTCCACATATAACGAACTCGCTTATAACGAATTATCGTGTATAGCGAACTAAATCTGACATCCCCGGCCGATACATTCTTTATTCTATATTAAATCACGTCACTAAATACATACTTGTTTAATACGAATTTTTGGCTATAGCGAACCATTTTAAGGCCCAAAACGGTGAAAAATGTAAATTTCCTCTGATAAAACAAAACTGTTTAAATTGAAATATTGAGTTGCGTTCGATTACGATCACCACATGCATACCGCTATCCTATAATTAATTCGAGTGATTGCAAAGGTAAGTTATGGCTTTAGAGAACAAAGATTTTGATAAAGGTTCTCAAAACTTAATTTTGTACTTGAACGGTAAGTTTGTATTTCGCATCATCAGTTGATTCATTGATGTTAATATCCGATAATTACCAAAAAATGATGTTTGTATGCAATATTAACCCAACAATAACAATAACAAACATATAACAAAATAATACAAATGGTAAGCACTTTATAGACAAGTTCTACGTGTCTAAATATATGCAGACAATATATTGTTCAATTTAGTACCTTGCAATAAAGTAACCGCAGCCGTAAAATACTGATTACACTTTGACCAGTGACAGATATGGCTTTTTCACGGCTAATTTGCCCACCCAAACAAGTCTGCAAGTTGTTGCTACTTCGCTTTTAACGAACTTCGGATATAAGAAACGATATTTTAATGCCCCATTGAGTTCGTTATAAGTGGAGTCGACTGTAAGTGTAAAACTTTACATAAGGTTGGTCACATTAATTGTGGCTGGTTTGTATCTGAACCTCATAATAGTGATAATCAATAATACTAAACATATTTGTAAACAACAACAACTATAATGATGATGAATAATAATTTCGATGCGACGATGATGCTTCACACCTTTGTTTTTGGTGCTACGAATAAATAAGTCATAAAAAGCAACTTTGAAACGGACGGTTAAGATCACCGCCGTATCATTAAGCGGAAGGGTTACTTTTAAATACAATGACATTACACGATATGAGGTTATCAAGATATTAAAGTCGAATATTACATCATCACGCAATTTGTGTTTAGTTTTAAAATTTTGTGATAAAAATAATTTCGTTACAAATTGAGCTTTACCATTTGAAATAAATAAATTATAATAAAAACAAAAACAAAAAAACAAACATACAACCAACAACTTACCGACCATCATCAGAATGATACGCAACTGAGCCTTTTCTCCAGCCAGGAAACTGTTGCACTGGATAGTTTACAGGCACGAGACCAATTGCTATATTTGTAATAAAATGCATACACATGTTTAACCAGGGATATAAATGAAATTGTATTTTAAGCTGAAAGAGCTATTGTACGCGTCATACTTTAGCTAAGCTTGTTGGTATCTTCAAATTAAATGAAACTGGTTCAAAATTCACGTACTTATTTTAGGACATAATAGTATGACAGTGTCCAAGGCATATAAATCTAACACGGACTTTGACCGAAATATGGTCCTTTGAACGTAGAAATTTCTGCATACCCAAAAATGTTTTTTTTTTCATATCCCAAAAGATTTTTAATCCGTGTGGTTTCCTGTCAAAGTTTCGAAAACAATACTAATATTATTAGCCATTTATCTGAACAACTGTTGCATTTAGACAGTTTGTACAGATATAGTGATGTAGTATTTTGTATTGAAGTCAAAATACTACTTTGTTTATATTTTACTACTTTGATGACACACTATTTCTCATTACAGGCTATTTTCTTCAGGTAACAAGCATCAAACACGCTCTTAAACCATTATGTAAACGTTATAAAACGCATATATGACATTTCGGAAGAAGGAAAATAGTAAATCGTTTCTGAGGCATAACGTGCCTTCGAGCCTTGAGCTTAGTTGAGCATGCGCTCCAAGTTACAGCTCTTGCTTTTTAAAAAAAATCATATCTGCATTTCAGATACATTTAGTCAGTACAGTATTGATCACTTTTTTTTTCAAGCACACATTTTATTAAAATCTAAGTAAACACTTTTCATGAACAATGAACTAAGGTGACACAATATTAGAACATAGCTCTAATTGGAAGAACAGCGATTATGGAACCTTATCCTGTCAACATATATTTTCCCCAGTTTCTCAGAGCCTCATTCATTCAAACATTTAAAAGAATCATTTACTTACCAACAGAGCCGCCCTTTCTATTATGTAGTATCTCCAACTCAAAGTAGCTTTTTGTCGTCATTTTGGTGTTACCAAAAATATACCATTTGAGTCGCCAAAATGCGTATATCTGGAAAAGTATCAACACTATTATTAATAAAAGCATGAACATTTATGTTCGAAAGAAAAAGTATGTTCTTTGCTCACAAATAATTACTTTTTATGTAACTTACAATGCCAACCAACATTTTAATGTATTTTTCACCGTCATGCATTATTATTCCGAGAGCCATTCATCATTGATTTTATCATACTAAAATGAACTTTATAGTGTGTTAAAACTTTCACCAAATGTCCAGATTCTATCAAGAAGCATACTCAACATCACTGATTACAACTCAATAAATCAGTTATTGAACTGTTACAATAAAACATTTACTGTGAACATTTTTTATCGTGCAAAGAAAAACAATAATCAGTTATTCTTTATTGCAAGACGCTTAATACACCGTGCGCATTTGCAAACGTCTGTGGCATAAAAGGAGAGCGGTCAAGGGAGATAACAAAAGCATTAAGTTTTTCGAAGTCTATTTAGAATACTCGCCCCTGGGGAATATTGCAATATTGATCCCATCAATAAGATAAATCAAAATAAAACGATGTCACATAAGGCTTTATAGTAAAATGTTCACGTGAGTTATAAAGTTTACTGTCGCGTATGTAAAAGATAGAGCATGATCTACTTTAGCTAGACAACAGTTTTACTTATACAGTTGAACTTTGGTAATTTGAATTTAAAAGGACTTACGCAACTGGACTTTTAGAAATCTGAGCTTCGACTCATGTATCAGTTTTAACTTAATTGAAAAAAGTCGACGCTTACAAATGATTCACAAAAGGCGTAAAAAACTGAAAGGACCATTAATTAATTATTTAATTTATTTCAATTAATTTCTTCGAATTTTTCTGTACCTACCATAAAAAATTGACGCAAATCGAACACATCGATACATGCTCATGCACGTAAAAAGGTTTTAACAAACAATATATATGGGGAAATCGGGACTTTCAGTTTACACATACAGAATATCGACTAAATGAATTTCGATATATAGATGTTCTGTGTTTAGTCATGTCGGGGTACATTTCCTGGAAGAATTAAACAAGGTTATATAACATAAACGGGATTAAATGAGCCTACCTCAAGCAGTCATCATCAATTTGCAAAAATTCTACTCTTTGCGTCAAATCTTTTAAGCCGCGACTCTGTAAATTAAAGATAACGTGTGCATGAACATAAATTTGCTTTAGGGGACTCAGCTGAGTAACCCAATAATTAATTTTGTTATAATTATATTTACCTTTCAAATCGGCATAAAAGTCCATAAAGGGATTGACAAGGAATTATATTCTAAGTATATTTCATTATTTCCTTTGCATTTTGTTTTCATTTTATGTGCTTCACTTGATGTTTTGAAATAATTTCAAGTTTTAAGTCTCTTTGACATAAGTGTTTTTTCTTAAATGACCCAATGAGATGATGGGTAGTTCACTACTAGCTAAAGTGCTTGAAACGCTGCTAGATAATGTATTATGCATATGTTGTACAATCAAAACTCATCCAACTGAAACTAAAGTACAATTTTATAAACATATAATTAACTTGAACGGAAACAAGTGAAGTGTTGATAAGTTAAGATGAGAATTGTGTAATTCGTTGGTTATGAGGAAACAAGAAAGGGGAAACTCATCGATTCTTAAGATATTAATAGGACAATTGCTACACACACAAATGTGTATTAAAATACTATGATTATGAAACAACAACACAACATTACACTTAAAATAATGAACAACATACAATATGCAAATAATGCCACAAGTGTCCTTAAAAAAATACCAAGACTAAAAGCTGGAAACGATGTGAATTTTACTTTTATATTTCTTTTACCTGCTTTCCATTTCCAGGCATTGCGTTCTCTAGAATAAAGTCGCTACCTGCATCTACTTCATCTGCAGAATAAAGAAAAGTTACATCAATTTCGAAAAATGTTCTAGGTAGATTCGTAAGAATTGTAAAACACAGTGTTACTCCTACCATATTTAAAATAATAAAGTATATTCTGAAGATGTTGCTTTGATTTCATGCATAACATCATCGACAATAATAATTTGGCAATATATATTTTTTAATCAGATATAAATAATCATATCTAAACAAAAGAACATAATGATGTTTTGAAAATTGTGACAATGGCTTATAATGCATAATAATTCTTTAATGACCAACAAAATATGACATTGATTGGTCATTAATTTTAGATGATAAATTGTTACGATACATTAGTTCGAGACTTCGTATGCGATAAATGCCAACTAAATTTAATTAACTAACCATTTTTGAATTTAATATAGCCAATCGACCTGCATTTGTCCAAAACAGACTCAATAAGGCTGTCCTTTCGAAAAAGGTATCTTTCTGTCGTATTCTGTTTTCTTAAGTCACGAATCGTGGTAGATATCTCCTCTAAGGCATTTTTCAAGCTTTCAAATTTTACAAACAATTTGTTTGGTTGGCACTTGTCTGCTTTAAATGATTCTTCCATTGATTGTAGATTACGTTGCACCACTGTAGTCTTGCTCTTAAGTTCTGTTTGCTCTTGAACACTTTTGTCTTTGAGTTCGTTTGATTCGGCGCAAATATCCGCTGCGAGTTGGTTGACATGATCGATAAGAGAGTCTCTAAATTCCTGTACGTCAAGAGTAAATTGATCATGAACATTCAAGTTTGCATCGATATTGTTTCTTATTTCCGATAAGCAAGCTGTGATCTGAGAGCTGCATTTCTGTAAATTTTCTTCAAAAGATTTAACATCTTTGCTACTTTCAAACTCGGCAGCCTTTTGGGGAATATACACTACATCACACGCCTTATGTTCGATTATCATGCAAACCGAACAGCCACACATATTGTGGGCTGCACAATAGAATTTCACGGATTTTTTCGAATGTTGCTTACACTTTTCAAGTCCTTCTACTGATTGATTTAGACTGTTAGGCGAGGTTGATTTCTTTTCGAGTAACACGTGTTCTTTACAAAATTTACTTTTACAATGATGACGGAAGCACGTTGTGCACATGTATTCATCACACTCACGACACCATCCATCAGCAAGTGTTTCATTACTATCATCTTGACAGGGTTTACAGATGTTTATATTCATACTTGAATCGTAAGACATTTTACTTAGAGCAATTCTAATTTTGTTCAAGTCTGAAAATAGATAACCAGCTATATAAGTACATTTATATACATTCTTTATTTATATTCAAACCTATATTTATTCTCTAGACATTTTACATTGAACGACTCTATTTTCTTTCAGAGCAAAAATGACTCACAAACCAGATTAGACCATTCAAATTTAACTACTAATTGACAGGGTGTACACAAATGTTATTTATTTTTAATCAAAACTGAATTGTTAATTGCCATTCTACTTAAGAGACAAACTAAGGTATGTTCTTCTATTTATGACACATTGGTAAACAAAGAAGAGGGCCAAGATAGCCCTAGATAGCTCATCTGACCCATCGAACTCATCGTCACCATATTTGATGACAACTGAGTCAAAATGTGACCACTAAAGTGTTAACAAGGTTTTTCCATATTTGGGCAGTGTGACCTATTTTTTACCCCGTGTGACCAATATTTGAACATTTGAACCAAATATGAAAAACATTAGTCAGTAAAAAACACTGTTTAAGCTATGTATTATAAATGGCACTCTTGACTTTGACGAACTGACCCCTAATTCAATTCAAAAGACAAATGCCATGCATGTTATCTTCCAACCAATTATGAAAGGCAGCATTCAATAAATTAAGGCTGTATGAGCTAAAGTGTAATCATTTTCTTAGCATTGGTGACCCACCATCCAAAGGTAAAACATTTCTCAATTTATGTTCCTTTAAAATAGACATATGTCAATAATAAAGGTTTAACCATTAAAAGTGTAAAAAAATCTATTTTTTGACCTAAATGACCGCTAACTACACCTGAAGGAAAAGGATCTCCCTAGGCATTTTCCGATTATTAAACATGAACTACATCAATCAAAAAGTTAAAGATTGTACGATCAATAACGACCGGTGACCTTGACCCTAGTGATTACTAACTCGAACAAAAGTTAGTGCAACAAGGCTAGTGTGTTGTATTGAACCATGATACCTAGTATCTCTGGCTGGGGCTAGTGTGGTCGGCCGTAGTTATTATATATACGCCCAACATGGGGTAGATCCTTAAGCATGTGCACATCAGGCATTTAGAATTTGGTCAAGCAAAGCGACAGGTACCTGCGAAGAAAGTCTGTGACAATCACCGAGCCCAATTGGTCAATATCAAAACCATTTATCCCTTTGAATTGATAAGTGGAATATACTGAAGAGCTGAGAGAACGAATGAAGAAAACCAGAGAGATAGTAAAGTCTTGTGCTTGTAAAGCACAGACGAAGCAGAAATACTATTATGAAAAGAAGGTTAAAGTTGTGAAGTTAAAGAAGGGAGATCAATTTTGAGTAAAAATCAAGAACAGAGGTTAAACATAAACTTGTTGAAAAGTATTTACTATTTACTTAAAGAGCAAGCCAATCACTGACATACCAGCATTTGAAGTTAAATAGAATGAGACAGGTAAGATCAGAAGGGCTGCATTGAAATACTCCATTGAGAAGTAAAGTAGGAGATGATTTAAAGAACGATAATTATGATGAAGAAGTACATATCATTTATATTAATTGAGACTGGATGTATCCGGAAGAACGATAGAATATTGTAAACAAGATCAACGCGGAAATGTGGAGTTAAATTAACACAACCTCCACAATGACCAGTGGCCATGGGCCCAGGAGGACCAAAAACAAAAACAGGACAGGGCAAAAGGTAGCGCACATACAGGATAATCACTTAATAATACATTAGATTAAATAAAAGAAATGATGTAGCCAAAGAATATGTGGTGTATATATAGAGGAACATGTAGAAATTGAGTTTGGAAAATATATATACGATTATAACCGGAATCAGACTAGTTTGTTGCATCAGACCAGTTTCTGACAAGTTTCGACATTAAAGAAGCTCCACCCATTGAAACATTCTACAGGTTGTCCACGTTTATCAAATGTCGGATGCGAGTGACTGTCGTATTCGTCAAAATATTGAGGAAGAGTAGATATTGATAGTTTGCTATAAGGCGACAACAGACACTTTCTGTGGTACACACATAAATGACATTTAAACCAACATATTTGTGTAATAATTGTCATTTATTTAATCTGTGTGCATTAAATGTCGTTGATAATCATAAAAAATAATATATTTGTAAAAAAATGCCTTTGTAAATGATTGATTTTGAATAATAATCCTAAAATTTTAAATCGTCATAGCAAAGTCATTTTTTACTTTTTGTCATCAAATATTTGGGATATAAACATACTTATAATATCTGGAGAACCGTGTCTCAAATTTTTTTATCTTTTCTCAAAAAAATATAACGTAACGTCAAACATTTTAAGCGACATTTTTCAACATATATATTACGTAATTAACCATAAATAAGTCGCTGATTGAGCAAACAAAAATCCCTTACACGGTTGCCTCTGTAAATGAATTTCCTTTCACATGCTTAAAACTGCATGTTAATTGCTTGATTATTAAAAAAGTTATGCCGATTCAAAGTAAGTCCGACCCGCATCAAACGAAGTGTCATAAATCGGCTGTTTTCTCTTGGACCCCTGCATTTCACGCTAATTAATTGCATAACACACAAATATCGCACCAGAGAGGGTCAGAAGTTGCGGTTGGAACGCATTTGCGCACCGCTAGCGAGGCATTTAATTGTTTCACTTTTTAAGTTTATTATTATTACCATCAGCATTAGTTGTATAATATTCCAGTGTCACTTTGCCTGTGTATTCGTGTATAACATTCCGTTCATATATAAATTAAAATAACAAAAAACCTGAGCTTCTGACAGGGAAATTATATATTTTTTCTAAGCAAAACATCTCATTTTAGGTATTTTCATTAATAATTTACTCCGTTGTCACCTTAACTGAGGATTCAACAAATGTTAACAAGAATACGGCGTAATTTAAAAGACAAACTTAACTTCCTAAGTTTACATGATTACGCGATACAAGTTGCGGTTACATACTCTAACAACATTTTATGACCCAGTGACATCTGACCAATTAAAAAGTTGCTGATTAATATCAGTTTATAGCAGACTTTTCTTCAAATCTTGACGTGATTAACTGTCCGTCTGGTATCTGTCGCACATGTCACGTGACTATCCGTAAAATTTGAGGCACTCGGTGGGGACGCATGGAACGCATTTGCGCACCGCTAGCGAGGCATTTAATTGTGTCACTTTTTAAGTTTATTACAATTACCATCAGCATTATTTTTATAATATTCCAGTGTCACTTTGCCTGTGTATTCGTGTATGACATTCCGTATAAATTAAAATAACAAAAAAACTTAGCTTCTGACAGGGAAATTATATATTTTTTCCACCAACTTGATATAAATGCTTCACATATCTTAATAGAAATAAAAGGTATTACTCGATCATTATGATCTGACCTTCTTGACTTCTATTCTCATAAATGTCATCTATGCACGGCATAGAGATACAGTTTCTACTGGGATATACAAATAATTTCATACTTATTCCCAGGTTTACTAGTGCTGTGTTCAATTTACTGGGCGGAGCGTTATCGATAATTGACAGGTTACGCAAATAGCAGATTAAAGTGGTATAGGTACTAACTGCTTCCAAAATTAAATCACGAATGTGTTTAAAAAAGGTTGATAAATCTACTAAGCAAAACATCTCATTTAGGTATTTTTCATTGATAATTTACTCCGTTGTCATCTTCAGTGAGGATTCAACAAATGTTAACAAGAATGCAGCATAATTTGAAAGACAAACTTAACTTCATAAGTTTACTTGATTACGCGATACAATTAATAAAAAATAAACGATTATGTAACACGAGTTTCATATATGTTTTATGTACGTTTCACTACATTATTTGTATAACTTCTGTTTTGAAATCTTTCAGGAGAGAGCAGATTTGTTAACTGGTATAAGTTAAAGTGTTGCACTCATGCACTATTTACGTTATTTACGTTATCACTCTCTGTTAACTCACCCTTGTTTACAAATTTAAGGCTCAGATATAATAAAAAATAAGATTTTATTTTAAAAAAAGTAATATAATTCTTTTTTTAAACAACACACCATTAATTTTAAAGTTGCGTTTTTCATATTTTAAAACGTTAAAAATTTCGCGGGTTTTAAATAGCGCGGAATTTTTTACATTTTTTAAACCCTTTTACAACAATTAAAATAGTTTTAAAAAATTTTTAGGATTTCCCAAGATAATCGGGGTACAAAACCCCTAAAAAATTTAAATAGCTCAATTTTCCCTTTTTTTACATCGTAAATTTTTTTAACCCGTAAAAAATTTATGGGGGGGAGGTTTGGGGAACCCTGGGGATAAATCCATTTTTGTTGGGGTTTGGGAATAAGTAATAGTTACCGTACGGGGAAATGGGTTCCCATGTATAAAAGACCTGGGTGAAGATTTGAAGACCCGGGGAGAGCGTACATCGGGGTTCAAAAAACCCCAACCAGGTTGTAAAAAACTTTTGGAATATTCCCATGCGGCTTTCTTCTTACATTTTCTTTGTTTTTTTGGGCCCAAATTTAATGTATGCTTAAATTTTTAATTCACATTTCTTTGATTTTTTTAATTTTCCCTTAAACCCCTAGATATTTTAAATTTTTATTAAAAATTTTTAACCCATTTTCACATTTAAATTGCATAAATTGATGATATAAATGTTTTAAATATATCAATGGGAAAAGAAAAAAAAGGGAAAACCTTATGATGTTCAAAAATAAAAATTAAAAAATAAAAAATTTTAAAAAATCAACTTTCAAAAAACAAAAAAAAAATACTTAAATAAAAAGGGATAAAAAACCCTTTGGTAAAAAAATGTTGTTTTAAATTGGGACTTTTAATTTTTTTTCAAAAATATATCCAATAAATTTAAAAATGACTAAAAAAACTTGAAAAACCCAAAATGTGTAAGGGGTGGTCCCGTATGCAAATTTTAAAAAGATTTGATATCATGTTAATTGGTTTTTAAAAATTTTGGGAAATTTAAGCTGGTAAATAAAAAAATTTCCAACCACTATCCACCCCTTAAAGGCTTTGCGCGCAAAAAATCCCCCTTAAAAAATTACAAAAAAAACGGG